CACAACTTTATTTAAATACAAAACCATGAGTGGTTGTTTAGGCATTGGTTAAGACTATCTGTCCCCCCGCCTGGGGACAGAACTGACTTCCGGGCACCACCGAAAGACAGTGTGGGGGAAAGCAAGTAGGGGAGAAATGGAGCTGAGTCACAGACCCTCAATTCTCATCCGCATGCTCCCCGAAGGCTTGCCGGCCCTAGTCCCATTCCAGGGATTGGACGAAAAGATGGCAAGCCCCAGGATTCCTTTAACGGAATTCCCTTTCTGCAGCAACCATGGAGGGGCAGGCCCAGCCTATCCTAACCCCTCCTCCACCAATTTATAACCAATGCCTAACCGCAACCTTACAAGTTGTGACGATTTGCTACGCAGTAGGCAAAAACCAAATGGCCCAGCCAATCAGCCAGATGGACAAAATTCCTACCAGGCCCCTGCCCCAACGGCAGACGACCCCATGACAGGCATAGCAAGGTCAATGCAACAACCCCTTACTCAAGGGCGGGTGGGCGGGAGATCCGTTGCACGCAGCAAAGAGAAAGCTCTAGGCTGCGTGCAGAGTATTTAAACATTTTACCCCTCCCACCAAAATTGCAACATAACTTTTACCCCAGCAACCCAGTGAACCAATCACTGCCCCAGGGCATCTTTAGAGACCCTGCCTGGTAACAGAGGGGTGGCTCAGCAGACCCCACCGCAACACGTGCTCTCCATGAAGAAGAACACGCTTTGTCAGATCGCAAGATTTTTCCCCCAACTGGCTATTGCAGGTGGCTATTCGAGAGAAAGGTATTTTAGAGCCCATTCCAGCTGGCCATTTCAGATGGGAGCTAGAATTCAACAGAAGGAACTTTATAAGTTTCAGTGAATCTGGGATACTGCTCCAACTTGGTCTGCGCTGAATATTCTCCCGCTTGAAGATAGAGATTTGTACATGTGTGAGAGTGCCAGAGGTCTGAAGGGGACTTTCAGCTGAATGTGTTTACAGATCTCCTTGCAGTCAGGACACCTACAAGCCCTCAAGGAGGTTTGTAAGTGCATTCACTCAATGCACTTCTCAGCTTTCTTCAGAACTTCCTGATCAAGTGGTATGGTGTGAATATGCCTCCTCCTCCTCCTCCTCCTCAATGTAAGACTTTGGTCACCCCCAAAGCTAAAAACTCTCCCTCCCAAAAAAATTCCTCTATTGCAGCCAGCATGAACAAAACATCCCCCCCCCAACAGTGTGAATATTGTTCATCTCCAGCATGTTAGACCTTCCACTAAATCACTACATTTTGCATAAAAGAAACAAACACAAGGTCAGGGTCCCCAGGTCATTTCCAGACAACCTGTTTATTAAGCCTTCACCCTGATTCGTTTGCACAAACTTTGCTGGGAAGTTAGATGGCATCAGCTATTTACTGCGAATTCATTCTGACCTCTTTGTCGGCAGGTTAGATGACATTGCATCAAGCAAGCACTATCCCACACTTTCCCGTGAATTCCCCTTTCATTTTTTCTTATCAACCTTTAGGAGAAGCAGGTTTGTTGCGCCAGAGCGCCAAAGGACATTTAATTATGCAACCTGAATTTACCAGGATTAAGTGACCAAATCCCACTCAAAAATAGCAATAGACTGAAAGCACCCATAATAAATTGATAATGGAAAGTTTGCTGCACTGATGCCTGATATTGCCTCACGAGAGAGCTAACTTTGCCCATTACTCCACTTAAGTCATAGTCTCTTTTGTCAGGGAAGCCCTTGTGCTTCACTGGAGTTGCTTTATTTTATTTGTTTTGTTTTTGGCTGGGGGTTTTTTGTGGGGTTTTTTTTTCCTGCTCACTGTGATATTTTGAGAGCAGGCAGATAATGATAAGTCAGCAAGAGTGGATTAAAAAAACAGCCCGTCTCTCAGGCTTCTAGGATGGGTTTGTAGCTCCTGAAATTGTCATTAGATGATTTACCCCACCTATGAATGCCTGAATAGAGTGCCCAGACACAGTATTTAATTAGTGTTTCAATTATCTTTTAAATATTTGCACATCAAGTTCAATAAAGAGCAGACAGCTGAGTTTTGAGACAAGTGACTGTGGCATCAGCAATTTCCCAAGGGATGGCTTATTTGAAGGTTAACAATTCAAGCAAAAGCCGTTAATCAGCGTAAATACTTTTGGCTGGAGACATCCACACCGAGAACAAATGCCTGGCTCCTTTGATCTTAATGAACTAAGATGCATTTCACACATCACAGCAGCTGGCAGGTCCTAAACTGCAGCGGTTGCCAAGTGCGGTGGGGTCACGTGGCTCTCAACAACATGCTGCCATTGCTAGATTGCCCACTGTGCTACTGAAATGCACCCGGGGCACTTTTTGGAAACATGAAATAATGCCAGGACCATCTCTGTAGCAGAGCATGGGCCGGGTGTGCGCCATCCATTCAGGAGTTAATGCTGTTTAACTCAACTGTGCAAACCTGCCCATCGTGCATCACAGTGATGTCACAGAGGGGAAGTGACATCGTTTGCACATGTGCCCCTCGCTAACCCAACCTGGAAGAACATGTCTATGTTGCAAACAGGAATGGCCCTATGCAAGTTTAAGCTTCTGGACTTCCTGCAAAGAATGTGAGGCGCTGTAATTGTTGGTGCCGGCAGTGATTGCCCTTCCAGTGAAATCCAGAGTTCTTCTGGATTTCCGAAAGAGAGGAAATGGCTGTTAAGGAGTAGTCCTATTTAGACATTATGTCTGACAAGGGAATAGCAACTTGAGTGGTGGGGCATTAAGAGGCACATACCAGTCTTGCCTCTAACCATCCTGTGTTGATCTGGAGTAGTCTTCTAAGCATGTTTGGCTGAAAAATCTTAGCAGGAGCAAAAATGCTAACTCTTTTAAATACCTGTGTTCTTCTGGGAAGTGGCAGGTGTTCTAGATATGATACACGGATCGCTTTCTGTAAGGCAGCTGGAGAGAGAAGCATGAGATGCACTTTGTGAAATATCTTGTATAATGGTTAAATACACAGTTGCTTAAAGTCAGATTAAGGAAAACATTATGCCATTACCAATGAGGCCTGGAAGCCATTTACACAGATTAGCCAATTAATTATTTGATGGATGGATTAACAGTTGAAATGGGGCAGTGAGTTCAAGGCAAACTTTCAGCTTGAAGCTCTTTGGGGCCTGGTGTGTTACCATACAAAAGAATAGAAGATAAGGATGCTCTTGCAATCTAATAATGAATGATAACATTTATTTAACTTTTTAGATTCTCCTGATTGTTCAATAATTTTTTAAAAAGGCAGATGTTGAGGGTTTGGGAATATGAATATTTTCCTAAGCAATTAGGCAGAAGATTCATCAACAGAAGCCCTTTTCAGTTGAGTTAATTTCCCATAAGCTTGATGCTGAACATCTCTTTGGAAATGCTGCCGGGAAACCTGTCAACTGCCAACATGGAAATAGAAGCCGAACGTTTGGTAGATTCCACTAGATCTCCAGCAGCTGTGTGAAAGAGGCAAAAACAAATGGGCAAGAAAATACCATGAAGATGGAAGAAAGTGTTGTCTGAATGCAGCCATCGTGAAAAAGAAAAGGAAGAAGACAAATGTTTGATAGGAACAGGCAAGAGGGCCTTTCTCTGTGGCTGCACACATATTGTGGAAGTCTCTTCCCTAGAAATCCAAATGGCAACCTCTATGCTGGTTTCCTGCAGTGCAAGAGTGGGGAGCCTCCAGGCTTTTCTATCTCACCAATAGGACTGCCTCCTCCTCAGGCAACATCCCTATCTCCTTAACACCTTTGCTTCACCAGCTCTGCACCACATCCTCTTCTGGTGCTTTTGCCTCACTGCACTGTGCCCTTGAAGTACAATGATACCTCTTGTTTCCCTCAATGGAGAGTGTGTGCACATGGTTGTACACATCTGCAAACCCCCCTCTCTTTTGTCTCTGTCTCTCTCCACCATGGTCATGTGAGCCTCAGAATGTTGCCCAAGAGGGAATGCAGCTCTCAGACTCAGAATGTTTTCCCCACCCCACCTGTCAAAACGTATATTTCAACGGGCTTTTCTGTATCGCTTTTCACAGTCATTTATCTCAAGGTGGTTTGCAATACAATTTAAAATCAAAACCAGAGCAATAAAATATACAATCAGGCAAATAAAAAAAATCAATAAAAAATATTTATGCAATTGAACAATCAAATCAAAATAAATAGCAGAATAGGAAACTATTTCTCCGTCATCTGCTTTTATTTGCTACTCAGTCTGCTTTCAAATTTGCTTTATATATGGATTTGATCGTTTTTGGTGTTGTTTTTTAAATTGAATTTTATATTGGGTCACTCTGTATGGCAAGGCAGGATGTAAGCCTGTTTCAAATTAGCAAAGATCAAATTATAACAAAATGTTGGTCCAAAGGAGTTTGAACATCAATGGTTGCATCTCATTCTCAGTCACCTGAATCCTTTTCAGATGTCATTGAAATGGGCTTGGTAGATAAAGAACAGTGTCCTTTATGAAAGATACTCAATTTTTCTATGTTCTTTGTTGCCTGTGCATTTCAGGATGACAGTTGTAATTCAGGAGTATTTATTATCCTATTTCCATCAACACATGGAAATGGTGGGCTTTTTTATTTTATTTTAATGTCCCAGATTAATGTACCAGCACATTTGAATTTCTAACCTCCCATTGCTAAGGGCAGGGAGCTATACCGAGAGGAGGAAATATGCCACTATAATTGCCAGGAGCAGAGGCATGATGATAGATTCAGTATGGGATGGATTTTTGGTCTGCTAGCTCTGGGATCTTCTTGATGCAATAGAACTAAAACTGTAAGATATTTGTTTCCTGGGAAGAAATAAGTGGATGATGGAGTGAGGCAGAAGTAACAGAGAGTTTCTCCTTCAAGGAAGCACAATTTGTTAAAGCCACCAGCCTGCTGAGTAGTGACGAGGGGGTTTATGTCAAAAGTGCAATCCAAGACTGGAGGAATACATACAGACCAAGGCAGTGGGACCAGTTTTCAGAAATGTTTGTCTGTTTCCTTTATTCAAGAGGTCTCAATCATACAGCACAATGACAAATGCTCTGCAGGACTATAGCTACCAGAGGTGGTTGCTGCATCTGAGTGGCCAGCTTAGCAGCACAGAGAGATGATGGAGCAGGATGATGTTGAAGCTTCACACTGCTCCTTGGAGCACTGCAGAGATCTTCCCAATTTCGGCAACCTCACAGAGCCACTGTTCCAAAGATTTGGTCATCAGTCTCTCGTCCCTAAAAGTTATTTTGATAACATTAAAAAGAACAATACTATATAGACATCCGATTACACTGTCAACTCTCAACTTAGGCAGGAGTTATGTTCTGGGGACAGCGCATAAAGCCCAAATTATGTATAGTCAAAACACACTTTACCTGCACCTCCAAATGCTCTCCCAAGGGTGTGTGTATATAAGCCAAGCACATAAAGCTGAATTTGCATAAGTTAAATGTGTGTAAGTTGCAATTTGGCTGTACAGTGGTACCTTGGTTCTCAAACTTAATCCGTTCCAGAAATCCGTTCCAAAACCAAAGCGTTCCAAAACCAAGGCATGCTTTCCAATAGAAAGTAATGCAAAATGGATTAATCGGTTCCACACTTTTAAAAACAACCGCAAAACAGCAATTTAACATGAATTTTACTATCTAACAAGACCACTGATCCATAAAATGAAAGCAATAAACAATGTACTGCAGTCACACAATCATCAGTCAGTAGCTGAACTGGGTTCCACACAGTCACCACAGTCACAAAAACAAACAGAAAAGAGCCGCAAAAACAAAAACGCAATATAAATAGCAAAAACAGACAGACCTCAGTGTAACACCCCAAACAGAAGTGTGGCACTCCAAATGGAAGTGTGGCACTCAAATCGGAAGCGTAACACTCAAAATGGAGCATATTCGACTTCCAAAAAAAGTTCACAAACTGGAACACTTACTTCCAGGTTTGCAGTGTTTGGGTTCCAAGTTGTTTGAGTACCAAGGCATTTGAGAACCAAGGTACCACTGTACAGTTGTACCTTTATTGTCGAACTTGATGCATTCCAGGAGTCCATTTGACTTCCGGAACCATTCAACAACCAAGGCGTGGCTTCCTTCACTCACTCTAAGCCACGGAAGCTGGATCGGATGTTCGACTTCCGAAAAACGTTTGCAAACCGGAACACTCACTTCCAGGTTTGCAACATTCGAGAACCAAAAGGTCCGAGTACCAAGGCATTCAAGAACCAAGGTATGACTGTATATGAATGTGCTATAACCTTGCAACTCATTTTAACAAAATCAGAGGTGTGAGGCGCTGAACATTTTCAGAATATAAGAAGAGCCTTCTGGATCAGGCCAATGGCCCACCTAGTCCCACATCCTGGACTCACAGTGGCCAACCAGATCCTGCCAGAAGCAGGATTTGAGTACAAGAGCAGTCTACCCTGCTGTGGTTCCTGCTAACTGGTATTCAGAAGCATTGCTGTCTTCTCCTTTGGAGGCAAAGCATACCTATCATGGCTAGTAGCCATCAATTGTCCTCTCCTCCATGAATTTGCCTAATCTTCTTTTAAAGCCACCAAGGTTGGTGGCCATCTCTGCTAGCTGTGGGAGTGAGGTCCGCAGTTAACTATGTGCTGCATGACAAAGTATTTTCTTTTCTGTGTCCTGAATCTTCTAATATTAATCCTCAATGGATGTTAATGAGTTGTGGTGTTTAATGAGAGAGGGGAAACTTTTATCTTTCCACTTTCTCCATGACATACAAAAACTTTAATTAAGTCACCTCTTCTCAGACTTTGCTCTAGCAATCTGCTTAGATACCCACTGCTTCCATTTGTTGGGAGTCAGGGCTATAACTTTTGTTTTACTTTTGATTCAGCCATGTCCAGCAATCATATTGTCAAAGGAAAACACCGTCTTATTTTCTTTCCCACATACCTCTAAATTGGGGGGGGGGGCAGCGCAGACAGCAGCTTGCAAAGTTTGTTCAATTTTTGGTTCAAATAGAATTCAGCAGGATAGCTTATTTAATTAACAGAGGCTTTAAAATATGCAAATCAAGAAGCAGTAATCCTCAAATTTTATGTGAAACTTGATACACCTGAAAATGTGAATATTTGACTTGGTCCTCTTCGTCATTGTTTGCTCAACCTCCTGCTAAGGACCTTGAGGTTTTAGAGCACAGCATATTTTGCTGGAATTGTTCATTGGGTTGCTAGCTCCTGTCTATGTGCTAATAAAATGCCACCATCTCCCACGCTGCCCAACTACAGACATTAAGTAGGGGATGTGGATTCAGTGCCTGCCATAGGAGGCAATGTCACCTGTGAAAGGTTCAGTAAATACCCCCTGAAAAAAATTCACTGTGCACAAGAGACTGTTTGCTCTTCCTGCTCAGTTCCTGTTAGCCCTGGCTTGGTCATTCTTACATTCAACACTTCCCCATTAACCATAACTACATCCCATCAATTTCACTGGATCAGACACCCTCCTTATGTTCTGTTCTGAACAGAGGAGAGGGGCAGAGCGCTTCTCTTTATGAGTGAGCATGGCGGCTGCTGATGTACGTGGCCTTATTTTCCACTGAGAGTGGGCATCCCCTGTATCATTTTACAGCACTGTCTCTCTTTCTCCTCTTCTGCAGCCATTTTGTGTTATGTAAAGTTCAAGAACAAACTATGCCATAATTAGCCACTAGTCCATGATAGAGCATGTCCCTTTTTAATTCGAAGTACCAAGCAAATAATGAACAGGCACCCCCTCAATATAATTCTAAAACATAGCTGTCAAGTGACCCTTATTTAGAGGGACAGTCCCTTATCCCAGCGCCATGTCCCGCTGCTGTCCCTTATTGATGGATGTCCCTTAAATTTCCTGGGTTTCAAAGGAAGCAGCTCCTCTCCCTCCCTCCTTGCCGGCCAGGGAGGAGGGAGGCTCCAACTGTGTTGCTTGGCTGCCCAGCCCGCCCCCCTCCGGCCTCCTCTCACCAGCCTCAGCCCCCAGGAACCCTTCCCTGCTGGGACTGGTGGGAGCCTTGGGCCCTTCCGCCGCCATCCTCCTCGCGGCTGCCGAACTGAGTGTCTCTGCCTGGGGCCTCCCCTCTGCCCGTCACTACCGTTCCCGCTCCCGTTAGTACTGCGGCTATGCCGCCGAAGGACCCGGATAAGATGGGCAGCCTGGCATGGCCTATGAATTGCTGAGGAGCCTTGAGAGGAGAGTGAGGGCAACCATAGAGAAAGCAGTTCAGAGAGAGGAGGAAGAGGAGGAGGTGGAGGCGGAGGCACGGGCAGGTGTTCCAAGGGCTACAAGGGAAGAACCGCAAGTGCTTCTCCCATAGATTTGTGGTGGTAGACTAGCATAGATAGTCTGATCTGCGGGTTTACTTCGGGCGCTATTCCCCCCCCTTCCTTCTGCCCCACCTGATGGAATTGAGAGCTGCAGATGGAACATGAGAGAAAAGATACAGAACTGCAGCAGCATCTTCGTAACTTGAACTTCGTTTTGCGCAAAAAGTGGTTGCTGCTTGTAGTTATTTAATTGCAGTGTTTCATCGGCTGGTGTCTTGAGCAGCAACCTCTGGAAATGAAGGGCTAAAAACCGGCGCTGCTCTCCAAAATTATCTGGTCCCTTTTAACTTCGTATTTCAGCTGGTAGAATAAAATCCCTTATTTTGGCTGCTGGTCCCTTATTTTCAAGGCTGCTGGTCCCTTATTTTCAAATCTGTAAGTCGACAGCTATGTTCTAAAATAAAGTTAATTTAGAAGACATCTGCTGGATAGGAAAACTCTCCAGCAGTAGAGGTTGGTTGATTTGGGCAAATGGGTTTTTGCCCCACCAGCCTTGCTCTGCCCTCAGCCATCCTCCACCTGCCTACTTTCTTACTTACATCCAGTCTAGGGTGTGGAAGTGACTGCCAGATTATTTCTCCTCAATCTTGCTGCTGCCCCTTGTAGAACTCAGTACGGAGGAGGATGGGAGCAAAATTGGAATTAGTTGGCTCTGCTTCCACCTAGTGCTGATCTTCTTATCTTCTGCCCTACCCATTTCAATGGGCACCAGCCACCCTGCTCTCTTGTGCTCCATTGTGAAATTCAGGTGAAGGTTTGGATGTATGGAAAGGGGCTTAAAGATCCAGTAAACTTCAAGTCCCATCATGTTTCCAGTGAAGTCAACTGGATCATCATGGAACCTGTAGGCCACTTGTTTGCCATAACATAGATTTGACCTTCTCCACTGTCCCCATTGGATAATACTAGGAGGCAGAGATGTTCTGGTCTATACTAGGAAAGCTGTGGCAAGTCTGATAGCCTCCAGACCCAGCTGTACTTTGGTCAATGTCACTGGGAGACAATGTCAATCTGGAGACTGGAACAAGTACATCATTAACCTTAGCCTGAGATCTTGGACTACTCCTGCTTAGAACTACTCTTGGACTACTCCTCCTTAGTACTCAGTGTACTAAGTAGCCCCATGGACCAAATCACTAGAGCTTTCTATAGAAGTGTGATGGAAGGTCACCACTTTGCTCTGTATAACAAGAGCAGCCCTGCTATCACATGTCCTGCGAGATCTACAAGTTAACTTTTGTCTGAGATCCGTCATTTTGCTTCAAAGAATCATCTTGATTCCATTCATGTTTTAAATGCCACATATTTGACATATATCAGCCGCTAAGCTGGGCTGAATGGAGAGCACACACTTCAAAGGCAAACATAAAAATGTATTTTCTAAAGCGAGAATATCAAAGCTTGCACACAGATACAGAAGTTTCATTTTGTCTGACGTTTGGGGCGGAAACTTCTGCTCGCTCTATCTCTTAAAAAAAAATAGATTCTCATATTTAAATCTTTTCTAGATCAGCAATATTTGCTAGAGTGGCCCCCCCCCCCGTTTTTTTAAAGGAGAAAAAGGGATAGAGAGGGAGCCAGTTAAATATCAGCAAGGAGTTTTTAATTGACACCATAGCTTCAAGAAACTGTTTACACATGGGGAACTGCTTGGATGAGAGAGAATGGAATTGTTGGCACCAAATCTTTTTCCATAGTGCTCTAATTGACTTTGGATCGGGTCAAAGCAATAATTCATGTAATTACAAATCCTCTGATGTTGCCCAGAGTTTCCTGATTGGGGAAAATGCTTTCTGTTTCTGTGAATACCCTTCCTAAGAAAGCTGAATGAAAAAAAAAGGTGTAGAGGTATTGAGATATTTAAGGGATAAACTAGACATTTGCTAAATATTTAGCATGCAGTTATAGATCTATAGTTTTTTTCTTACTTAATTACAGGCATCATGGTGCTAGGTAAAGGTAAAGGTACCCCTGCCCACGGGCCAGTCGTGTCCGACTCTGGGGTTGCGTGCTCATCTCGCTTAAGAGGCCGGGAGCCAGCGCTGTCCGCAGACACTTCCGGGTCACGTGGCCAGCGTGACGAAGCTGCTCTGGCGAGCCAGCACCAGCGCAGTGCATGGAAACGCCGTTACCTTCCCGCTATAAAACAGTACCTATTTATCTACTTGCACTTAGGGGTGCTTTCGAACTGCTAGGTGGGCAGGAGCTGGGATTGAATGACGGGAGCTCACCCCGCCGTGGGGATTCGAACCGCCAACCATACAATCGGCAAGTCCTAGGCACTGAGGTTTTACCCACAGTGCCATGGTGCTAGGGGAATCCTTATTGAGAAGGCAGAATGTGTATGGAGAGAATTATCTTATCTCTCTCTCTCTCTCTCTCTCTCTCTCTCACACACACACACACACACACACACACACACACACACACACAAAATGATCAGAACAAAAGTTACCCCCATTCCACATGTGACTAAGATCCTTAGCAGGGAAAGTCCTGTTAGCATCAATGGAGACTTTCCCCTCTAAGGCTCCTAGCGTCATGCAGAGCAAATTAATTTCAATCACACTAGTGAGAGAAACTATTAAGTCTCCTGCCCATTGCACTGCCTTTCCAATAAGGGTTGCTATGCCCCCCCCACCCCCAGTGTGAGATAGTTAGATGCTATACACCTAGAAAATATCTAGTTTGGCCCTAAGTTTTCATGTCTTCCTGCAGGATCAATAGAATGTGCTCTTGGGCTAGTAGAATTCCTTAACTACAAAGAGGCCAGACATAGCCTGGGCTTTAGTTAGATATGCACCATGTCTTGCATAGTTATTTCTAAACAAAGGGAGAGGGGCACATTTTACATGTTAACAACTCAAGGAGGTGATTACGGAACATTAAAAAGCCAGTTCATCTTTGCAGAGCAACTCTCCCAGTCCCTGTCTGGGCAGATTTAGCATTCTGTTAGTTCATTGCTTTTGCTTTTAAGCCACAATGACTTTTGTTTAGATCTTGAAGGTCACAGCTTCAAAGCACAGAGCTACAATCACAGTAAGACACACAGGCTTAAGCAGCACAAATATTGAAAGGGCAAATATGGGGGGGGGAGAGAGTTTGTGTTCTCTTGTGTCTCCTTTTATTTGTAGCAAATGCATTTGAATTCCTGAAACAAAAGGTGGCAGAGAAATTAAAAGTGCTTATGGAACACTTAATAAGCAGCAGTGCTCCTGAGGTATTGCTGTTTATCATCCACCAGCAATACTTTGTGGCTATCATCACAGCTTGGACACATGTTTGTTCACTAAGCAGTACAATGATGAGGTTAGTTACAAGCAGATAACAGCAGCTGGTGCTGTTCTTGCTAGAAATCTGTACACAGCATGCTTTCCAATGTCATTCAGCCATCATCTGTGATTCTCGGAGTACACACCCTAATCATATCTGTTACGGGTGAAACTAGACATGATGTCAATCAGCAATTGCATGATTTGGCCATTAGCAATTGTGCTGTCCCACTTTATACACACATGTATAAAGAGATCACTTTTCCTGCAATCCTCTTGATGCTTATGGTGATGTCACAAGCCTTAATTTTATATTCTTAATTCTGAGCAACGAAATGTGTCTGATTTGCTCAGGATCCAAAAAAATCTAGTCTGCCTGTGAAATGACTTTGCGATGCACTTTTGCAGACCCTACAAATGTCCCTGTTTTAGAGAAGCCATCCCAGTTTCTGATTTGATCCCAGAATATCCCGCTTTTCCTTAGAATGTCCCTATTTTCATTGGAGAAATGTTGGAGGGTATGGAGTTATCCAACCCCTGAGCCATCTGAAGGCAATCCTGTATAGGGAAGGTTTTTTTTAAAAAAAGATTAATTTTTTAAAAATGTATTTATATATGTTGGAAGCTCTGCCCAGAGTGGCTGGGACAACCCAATACGATGTGTGGGGTATAAATAGTAAAATTATCATTTTGGAATGGAACACCCCTATTTTCATCAGATAAATGTTGGTGGGTATACTTCTGTTCCCCTTATCAAGATGGTGAGAAGGACTGCTAATAAGGCTAAGGCATGCAATGCTCTTTTAACATACGATAAATTTAATTCTGATAGCAAAAAGAAAGTAACTTGATTATTCTGGGCAAGTTATTTTGATTCCAGTGTGAAAAGGCACTTTCTGCTTCTGCTTAATGATGAGATTTTAAACTACTTTGGACAGGCATGCAAAGCTAAAACTTAGTCAGCGTATTCAAATTTATCAGCGACTTTATGGATTTAGATGTATTGTTAATTGCCCAGCATCAAGCTGCCAGAACGGGAGAAAGTCAAACAAAACTGGGTTTGTAGCTTTGGGGTTGAGAGGATTTGCTTTTTTAAAAAAGCCGTGGAACTGTCCAAGGTGCTGCCAGCTACTCAGAGCCAGCTGCAAGAGAAACAATCAGTGCTAGAATCTCTGTATATCAGGGGTGGGGAATCTCAGGCTCAGGGGTGCTTGAGACTCTCTCCAGACCACACCTGCTCCTTTGGTCACAATTTTCTCATCAGCCCTGTACTGTGCTCTCCTCAAGTGCCTTTGGCTGTCTGGAGTGTGTCCTTGAGCTGTGATAATGCCTCTTGCTTGCCTGGATGGAGGATGGAGAGGGGTGGAGAAACCTCTGGCATTGGCATGGCTGTAAATGTCACTGGCTGTATGAAGAACTACACCCATTGCTCTATTTACCTTTTGCCATCTAGCCACTGGCATGTAGCTCCTGGAAGGTTGCATATTGGGGAATGTGGCCTTCTGCTTGAAAAAGACTCCCCATGGCTGCTGTATAGTGTAAGGTACATCATCTGGTTGTAAAGTGTAAGGCTCATCACAGACCCATGAAGGGAGTCACGTGTCCCCTTTTCTGTCTGCCAAATCGAGGAGGCAACTGTAATCATTGCACTATCAGAAGTCTACTTTTCATTGGACAGTAATGGTCGGACTCTGTCCCTCTGCTGCAAACCACTCCCAGAAAAACCTGCTGCTGACCAAGGAATTAGATGTCACACCCCGATGCTAGGGCACAGGTTCAGATTAGAGAGGGTGGTTATTTGGTCCCTTCTAACTCAGTGATTCTACATTACTTGAAATAGTGTTATGCAAACAGGTCTCGTCGAAACTTAGCAAGACAGCTTGAACATCTTTAGCAGCTCTTACTGCAATGCACTCTGCTCCCAGCCTCTCCTATTACCTCTGGTTCCCTAGAGTTTCCACACCACCATTGCAGCTGCTGCTCATGACCTTCCAATATAGCAGAGGTTGTTGCAAGGTATGCTAAGAATGCCTTCATAGTGAAAGAAGCCAACCAATGCTGGATGTATACTGAATGTCTGGGGCTTTGGGATATTCTGAAACTTGTGCTAGCCTGCACTAGCACAGAAATGGTCAGATGGTCATCATCTGAGGCAAACAAAATTCCTACATCTCGCTAGGGCCAAACCTAAATTGTACAGTGGTACCTAGGGTTAAGTACTTAATTCGTTCCGGAGGTCCGTTCTTAACCTGAAACTATTCCTAACCTGAAGCACCACTTTAACTAATGGGGCCTCCTGCTGCTGCCGCACTGCCGGAGCACTATTTCTGTTCTCATCCTGAAGCAAAGTTTTTAACCCGAGGTAATATTTCTGGGTTAGCGGAGTCTGTAACCTGAAGTGTATGTAACCTGAAGCGTATGTAACCCAAGGTACCACTGTACTGTATTTCTCAGTCTAGACTCTCTCCAACAACGCTTTACAGTTTGGGACAATTTGTAAATACAGCCAAGGCTCCCATTATTTGATGTGCAAACACTTACCAAGTTCCGAGACAGCACATGATGATGATGATGATGATGATGATGATGATGATGATTTTGGGGAGGGAGGGGGAGGACCCAAACTTAAGAACAAGGCAGACATACTTTCTACATACAAACTCAAAGGTGAAATTTGAAAAACATCATAATTCAAGAACTCTCATTTCATACTCTTCCTCCAAGGAGTGTGAACATGGTCCTGGCTACTTCCATTGTATCATCACAATACCTCTGCGAGGTAGGCTAAACTGAAAGAACATGATTGGCTTATGGCAACCCAGCAAGCTTTTTGGCTGAGTTGGGAACTGAACCATGTCATGAAAACCAACTCTGATTTGAGTGTTGGGTCACTTGAAAGGGGTGCCAACTTGAATAAAATATTGGGGAGGGGCATCCTGTATAATCGGTCACATGATGTAGCACATGCACACCATTGGAATGGAAAATGCCCATCAACTTTGGGTGGGTCCCAGCCCCATCAAATATTTTAGGAGGGGGGCAAAGAGACCTCAGCCCCTAGGAGTTGACTCCTATGGTCACTTGTGTTTTCTTACTGCTCATTCACTGTTGTATTTTAGTCAACTGATTGCATTGCTTTTAATTTATATGATAAAATTGTAGTCTGGTGGTAATCTGTCTGTGCTATGCACAGCAAAAGAACTGTATGGGCCTTCTCCCATTTTGTCTAAGAAAGATGGAAATATTATTCTAACTAGGGCTGATCATAAAATGCCTCCCCTCCTTCGCAATCCTATTCTCAGGGTGAGGTGGTGTGGTGCCAATTTCTGCACATCTGTGGGTGGGCTGGAGAAATTCCTCTGGGAACTTGTGTGGGTAAGGGAGTTATCCTTTTAGTTGTCCTGTTATGGTTTTGAATACGTTAGAAATGCTTGTGCAGTATATGAAATCATGTGCAGTCTTTCCTTTAATGCCTCTGGTCAAGTATAAACTCTTTATCTTTTCTTCATAAACTAACTTTCATTTCTACGATATTGCCCCATTAGTTTTCTCAAAGTATGCCAGCCTTTAACGTTCTCGATGTTATATGAAACAGTACTAAATGGTGTGAGTGAATAATGAATGTTTAGCTTCCAGTAGCAGAGGAATGAAGTCCGCTACCAGGAACAACGCAACAGGCTTGGTATTTCAACATTGCGAAACAAAACTGCCTCAAGACACACTTCAAAGCCTGAGATGCCTAATCTCCTTGGAGCTTCAAGAAACAGCTTCCAATCAGGCCCCTGAAAGTGTGACCTCAGCCTGGAAGACACTCCCCAACCCCAAAGATTACCACATATCTGATCACTGGTGTAGAAGATAAGAAAGAGAATCAAAGGAGGAGGCCTGAGGACCTGAACTTCTGATAGCTGGGAGGGACATGCATGAGAGGCTGGGCAGTAGAGAGCATCTTTTGGTCAAGGTGTGGTAGGCATCAGCTGGAAGGCCATTGTGAGAACCTGATGCTGGGTCACTGCTTTCATTGAGGAGGCTCTTATGTTCTTAACTGCAGATCAAACTGAAGATGGGGAGGGAATTGAAAAATGGAGAGAAATAGCAATTGATAGCTTTCATAGAATCATAGAATTGTGGAGCTGGAAGAGACCCTGAGAACCATCTAATTCAACCCCCTACAGCTGCCCCATATGGGAATCAAACCTGCAACCTTGGCGTTATCAGCACTATACTCTAACCAGGCCCCCTCCCCAACTCCTTACTGCTAATAAAAGAAAAGTAAGAACCCCATTTCTAAACTTTCTCCACCTCATTTATTTTTTGCTTCTCCACTGCTATTGAGAATGTGCCCAAAAGGTTCATCTTTGTATATTTGTCTCAGTCCTGATTCCAACCTTCCTTGGTGACTGTTTTCTGCATCCCATTTACAGAACCATCGCTTCTTGCACTTTCTTTGTTGGGACAAGGAGCAGGCCCTTTGCTTCTTCTTGGGGGAGGCCACTATCTCGGATTTCAAACCTGGGTAAGATCAAGTGACAAAGTGGCAGTAACAAGAAAGTCACTCATTTTTAACCAACTTTCCAAAGTGAAAACGTGGGTGTCAAATCTCTCAGATCAGTCATCTACCCACTAATTAGTACCATTCTGAGATCTAAAGAAAAGGCCTTCAAGGCAATAATGCCTTTGCTAAATTCTGACGATGACTTCTTTCCCCCCTATAGCTGGGGAGTTTGAGCGGAAATGCTGAACCAAAGCTTTAGGCTTCAAAGCTTAAGTATGCATTAATTACTGTGAATGAAAAACATCTTCAGAAAATTATGCCAATTTACTGACCATATTAAAGGGAGGGGAGGGGGAGAGACAGATAGACTTTTCATTTTTGGTCAGTTTTGAAGAAATTCCCACAGCAGCAAAAACTCTGCAGTGCAGTTTCCTGAGCTCAAATTTGTTTTATGGTGTTTGGAAAAGCAAAATACCCTAATAAGTTTTGAAGCAGAGGTGGATAATAACATGGTTCACTATCAACTGCACCAACATTCCATGAGGATAAGGGTGCTGAGAAGAGTTAGGGGACCCCTTTTTGCCTCTCAGAGCCATAATTTCCAGTGTTCCCTGGGAAGAAGGACTTGTTGTTGTACAGTTCTTAGAACTGTGGCTGTAAGAGGGGAACACAGGTCTCCTAAACAGTTCTCAGCACCATTAATAAACAACAGTTCCCAGGATTCTTTGCAGGAAGCCGTAACTCTTTAAAATAATATGGCACTGTGTTTAATGTACAGTGCAGATGGGGCCTTAGTCATCCTGCAAAATAAACAAACACTGCCAGTTCTGGTAGCTTTTTATTTTGTCAGAATGCTAAGTGTAAAATGCCTTGCAGACACAGAAAATTGTCTCAACTTTAAAAACGTTCACATATGCAACAGTGACAGCATACATACAGGTTGCCAAAAATGTGGGAAGCTTGCAGCGTTGGAAATTGGTGCTGTCAAACACAAATTCATACCTGGGAAGTACAAGGAATTAGCATGAAGGCACAATGAAGCATTTCATTTAGAATTTTCTAGAAGGTGCCTCTTTGTTTAGTTTTGGAGGTCACAAAAAGTGCTGTATGTGCTCTTTCCTTTGGCAACTCTCTAAATGAGTTAGAGCAGATCGGTTATAGTGAAGGGAATGGGGAGAGAGAAGAAAGGAAGAAAGGAAGAAAGGAAGAAAGGAAGAAAGAAAGAAAGAAAATTAATACCATTGTAATAATATACAGAAAGGAGAGTTGTATAACATAATATTGAGACAATCTATGGCACAAGTGTTTAATTGCTTGATGCTTTGCACCCTGAGAAATAATCAATAAATCAAGGTAGCTGGCAAGAGGTCTCTCTCTGTGTGTCTTTGTGTATCTCCCAGTAACTCTCTTGCATGTCTTGTTCACCTAATAAAGAAAGAAAGGGAGGAAATATAGGACACCAAGTTAAGTGGAGTCTATTGTAATAATCTAAATTAAAAGCAAACCGAGCAGCAATTGATTCCAGGATTTCAGATGTAAAGTTTATAAAGTTACACACTAAAATGAATTATACAAGCAATTTGACCACGGAATAAAGAGAGCAGATAACTTATCCAGCTAAATAGTTAAGAGCTACAAACCTGCTGTGTCTCAAAATAAAGAAACGGGAGGCCATTTACAGTGCTTATTAAAATTAGGGTGCTGAGAGTGTTTGTGTTTGCTCATTCATGCCTGTCAGTCGAGCTTCCTTTTGCTTCTCACTTAACTAACTGAAGAACCTAAATGAGCTCTATTGTGTCATTGTGCAGTTATATAACTTGATCATTTTAAACGCGTAGTTTATGCTTACTCTTCTTCAGGCATATCCTCCCCAAATTACTTACAAGGTTTTAAGCAACCAGTTAATACCCAGGCAGTGAAGTATAAGAGGACATGGGCTCGCAAGACAGATATCAGTCTGGGCCTCCCCATTTTACTGTTACACAATTAAACTACATGCGCTTCCCGCATGATCTCACCAAAAGCCATCACAGCCATTCAACCCTGGCAGTGGCAGGGACAGCGCTGGCTTTAGGGTGCTGTGGGCAGTTCCCCTGCGCAGGGTGCTGAAGCAAGGGGCTGCAGAAAAGCAACTGTACCAAAAGGAATGATTTGAAAATAAGAAATATTATGGGGTGGGTGCCCAATTTTGTCCTCGCTCGGGGTGTCATATTACTAAAGTCCATCGCTGGTAGGGCACTCATGGGAGCATCACCCTATGGAATTCTCCCACCCAAAGTGGCTGCTTCAGTCTGCCTGATGGACAGGCAGGCCCTGTATAGAGTGTGGGGCAAGCATCCAAAGAAACTGGGATTGTGGTGTAAGGAGAGGAAGGGAGAAGTCAGCCCAGATTGGCAATTTGTACTCACTCATCTTAGAGCTTCTGCTTGGAGGACTTCCTGTGACTGAAGGCGAACATCCTCAGAGTTGGCGCAGGCTTGAAAGAGAGAAATAGCAATCCAGGAAGAGTGATACTCAACAGACTGAACCAGATTGGTGTGAAGCAGTCTCTTGGGGGGAAAGGGACTGAGAGGAGGACAGTTATAGGAAAGTCTCGAAAGAGACACCCTGATGGGTGGTAGCTCTAACACAGAGGGTGGTTTTAGGACAGGGCTAAATTGAAGAACATTAAAAGACAAAATGTACAGATAGTGAGCTGTTCATGGGACAATTTCCCCACTGTAGTCCAGCGAGCTTGCAAGGGGTCTCTGGCCAATCATAACCAGCAGATGAATATACTTTGTGATCTAGGGTGGTAAAAATGGTAAAGGAGGAAAGTTTTATATAGGTTTTTCTCTGTGGGAAAAGATGGATAATTCCCAGTCTAAGTTTCATTCTAGATTTATTCCCTTTGCACTATAAAGTGCTCAGAGGTCAGAGAGGATGTTTCAGAAATAGGGACTATAAATACCCTGCAGATTTATCATAGTAGACTTTCCAGAAATAGAAAGTATGTTATTCCTGTGTGGATCAATCTTAGCCATGTGTCACTAATGGGATATCCAACAAACCATCTATTCTGGAAAAGTTGTTAAATATCTAGTACATTGTTTATTGTATTTGTGGCCCTCCTGAAGTGTAGCATCTTTTTGTTATGTGCCGTTTGAGACTGACATGGAGAGAACAGAAGGGAGGGAGGGGAGCAGAAACAAGGAATATCAACTCTGTTGTGAAAGGTTTTCACCCACCAACCTACAGAAAATGTACCTAGTGACCAAGGTTTTTTTCAGCTGGAGCTCAGCTCCGGCACCTCTCAGGTGGGCACCACTGCCATTCTACAAGAACAAGCACTACTAGTGATCTTTGGCAATTAACCTCTGCAAGTTAGAAACCCTAATTATTTTGGAAGGGGGGATTGGAAAAAAAACACACCTGTCCAGTGGAGACAGTTGGGCTTGAAAGAAAAATAGTATGCAGAGCTAAGAGCCTTATGACTCAATTGCAGTATTAATTGGCTGGAATGAAGCTCTTTCTAGACTAAAGTACAATCAATATAAAAAGCCTCAAATGCACGTTTAAATTAAGCTAGTGAAGCCAGTCAGCCAATTTCTCCCACCTTAACATCCCTGCACCGGAATTATATGACTCTGTCTGACTTGTGGCTTCCCTCCTACCAACAAGCCTCCAGCTTCTGTCCAAATAGGCTTCAAAGCCACTATGATCTGCAATGTTCTGGCTGCATCTGCCAGGCTTTGCGTCTGTCAGTGACTCAGTAAATCTGTGGTGCAGAGTCGCTTCCTCAAAGTCTTCCAGCAAAGCCACTGCTTCTTTTTCACATCTGCTATTCTTACACTCATTTCCTCTCCTCCTGTCCTGCTGCACCTGGAATCTTTTTGTATTGGATTAGCTGGTTGTCAAAGCTTGCACAGCACCACGGATGACATAATGGGTCACTTGATGCCGTTGTGACATCAGATGCCTCACAAGAGAGCATCCCAGCCCACTTCTCAAACTTGGCCCATGGGGGAGATAAGAATCTGATCTACTGGCTGCTTCCAGTTCCATTGCGGTTTGCATTGGGATCCAGGAAGTCCCAGCATCTCACTTTGTCCCATTACAGTCTCATCCAGATTCATTTTTCCTTTGGACTAAGCAGAAGCTCTGCAAGATACACATCTCTGGTGCTTCCCTCTGTCTCCCACTCATTCTGAGCATCCTTCTTTCTGCCCAATGACAAATCAATTGATGGCGTGTTACAAGCCAACTTTATTAACACAGCAAGTATTTTATTCCTTTTACTTGTGATCAGTGTGAATATTCAACTAGTGTCGCCAGTTGTCACACGATGACTTCTGGAATGAGAAGAAACTTCAAATGCATACTCTTCAGTATCCTTCTTCAAAACCACATTGGTGTCATCTGTTTGCACTGCAGATGATGAACCATCTCTCCAATGTCCATCCCTCCCTCCCAAGCCTACCATGTAGGAGCCACTGGGTTGCTTAGCAGCCACTGAGGCTGATTCCACACCTTACTGCAGAATGATGTAGAATGGAGGGTACCACTTCTGGTCACGAAGTTGGGGGGGGGGAGGTTTGCCTCTTTGAACTACTGCACCACAACCTACATGAAAATGGAAAACATGTCAGGGAGCACACTCATTTGACTGCTGTACTGGTTTCCCATTTTTGAGGTCTCTGTGTGTGCATAATTGTAACAAATTACACCCTACCTGCAGCCTAAAATTCGTTCACCCACCTCAGCATTCTTCCACCTCATTCTGCTGTGTGGGTAGACCAGGCATTTGTGTCATCTTGTTGACGGAGTTAGCCAGCACTGCTAGTGACATTTTTACAGTGAAATCATGAGATAGCTATTCAGTGGAGCATGAGCAATCCACTCTTGACTGAATGCCCAAGCACTATCAATTAGCAGCTCCATGTTTATGAAAGAGCCATCGTTTCCCAACATCTCAAAGCTGAATCAAATGCTTAGCAAGCTAAACAGAGCTGTTTTTGAAATTCTGGGAAACATTTGTAAACTAGGATTCATTTTACCACTAAGAATATTTTGGAAACTAACAGTGCTTTAAGTGTTGTTGTTGCTGTTGTTATTACATTTGACCTGACCACAGCCCTGTGTTATGCATAACTATTGCTGTTGCTTTTATTATTATTTATTCAGTTTGCTAGCCACAATGCAACCTTGGTATAGTTGTGAGTTGTTTATTTGCTACTATGAGTTATATCTAGGGTTGTTGGGGGAATCTGCCGAGAACAAACTATTAAGTGCATTTCCTCCTGTCTGCCTGTCAACATGGCATAGAGTCTTGCTGTGAATGTTTCTCACCAGAGTTCTGTACAACAAAATAACACATGTGCACATTCTGTGTAAACAGATACATAAATTGCTTTGCAATTTACATCGTTCACATCGTCATTTATGTGTAATTGCTGTCGTCTCAACAGGGGCTTCACTACATTTCTTATTTCTGAAATGTTCCTTGTTGGCTTTGTATTTGTGCAAGTTGTTTGAGGCTACAGGCAGCCAGCAGGTATGCAACATTACAAAAATGCCTCAAGTCCCCAGTGATCTCTCCTCCAAAGAAAGCAACCCAGATAAGCAGGGCCCCTGGAACTTGTTGCCATTTGGACAACACTTTAGTACCAGATGAGAAACTCAGGTTGAGGAATAACTGGACCTCCAGCAGCCATTCAAAAGCTCCCATCTCAAATCTCCATTTATTTCTCATTTATATCATATAAGCTATCTGATCTTAATTATGCAGCAATATCACAGAAGAAAGGTCGAATTATTGCTTAAACAATCCCTCGACAATGAAGGAATGTCTTCAGAATGGATGGAAGCAGATGCAGCTGAGAAGATCTATAATTCCCCCTCAGTGGAAACCAAATAACAGACTCCAACAGCTGTCGTATAATGAGGCAAGGCAGCTAGCATGATTAACTTTTGTCTTTTATTGCTTTAGCATCTTTCTTTACTTCTTAGAAGAGCCTCTGTATTTAAATTAACCATTGCTGAAAATGAAATTATTATTAATTTTCCTGGCTGCATGTGCAGGGCATGTCTGCTGCGATGAATACTAGTGTGATGGATGTGAATGCTGCTGAAGACATTAGACCCGTGCTCCTAAATCCACCTTCTTTAAAAGCTGCACAACAAGTCCTTAGAATTATTCTATTTTCTTCCCATTCTGCCTAGGAAGGATTCCTGGGGAACATGAAAATCAGGCCACAAGCTCTCAAAAAGAAGTACTAAAAAGTGTGCTTCCATGGCTGTTTTTATTTGATTTTATATGCTTTAATAACACTCTTTCAGATGTTTTGTGTTACCGTACTTTTCCGTGTATAAGACTAGGTTCCCCCCCCCTTAAAAATCTTGCTAAAAAGTGGGGGTTGTCTTATACATGGGTAGTGCATAGGGTGGACGTTTGATTGATTGCTGCCATGTTTGTTAGCGGCTATTGTGCATGTTATTGGTTGCTGCGTTAATGGGTGGTTTTGACTGGCCGACGCTGCTGCAATTGGGCATGCAATTGGCAGCTTCTGCCGGCGAGGGGAGAGACACGATGCGTTTTTTGTGACGCGTGAGCGATTCAACAACTCTGGCCAATCCTCTGCAAAAAAAGCTCAACTTTTAGCCATCTCCACCCATTTTCTGAAATTTCAGTCCCCCCAAATAGGGGGCGTCTTATACATGGGGGTGTCTTGTAGACAGAAGAGTACGGTATTTTGTTTTAATGGCAGTGTTTTTACGTTGCTTGGGTGGCTTTTAAAAAAATAAGTGATTTATAAATACAAGAGAATGTGATAAAGGCAAGAGAATGTGATATTATGGACTCGGTGTGAACAGTGGAGGTGGCACGTGCAACAAAAGAGCAGCAGCAGCAGCAATTGCTACCAGCTGCTCATCCACAGACTCTTTGGCCAGAGAGCAGCACCAGCAATGGTGAATGCAGTAGCAGCTGCTGAAACTAGGGGTGAGGAATTTCATTGAAGAAGGGGAGTTCACAGAGGATGTCTCGTCCCAAACCAACACAATCCCCACCCCACTGAAAATATGAAACCCAGAGCTGGCACTGCCACAAACCCACAAGACCAACCCAAACGCATGCAACAGCCATCTGCAGCTTTTTTTTCCTGGCCCGGATGTGTGTTCCAATCCACAGGCAACCACCAGCTGATCACCCAAGTCCAGAAACGATAGCTCTGGAAAAGATTGCTGGCATTTCCAAGCAACGAAATTGCACTGAGTTTCTTCTAGCCATTAACACGCCTCTTCAAGGCTGACTAGCTCTGATGTTTCCTGCCCAGTTACATGCTGCAGGTACAGCAGTCCTGTTGGCTTGCTTGCTCAGTTCCGTGAATCATCAACATACTTTGCCAGAGTTGAATAGAAATGACTAACCAGCATATTTCTCTTTCTTTCATTTTGATCACAGAAGCAGGCTCTGGGCAAGAGGGTTGAATATGCATTGCTTCTGGACCAAAGTTGCTGTTTTCCCTTCTACTTTCTCTTCAAGCAACTTTCTGAATTCCTTTGATTTTGTGAAATTGAAATTTCATCAGTTTGCAAATAGTTTCAAACTTGGCATTAATTCAAGGCCTTTGAAGACAGCCGTTGAAAAGGAGTCACTCCCTTTTAAATATGCACCTGATGTTTGAAGGCATTTGTTAGAATTTCCACTAGACTGCAAAATCTAGACCAGATTTTAAAAGCAGCCTTCTTTCCTATATAGCTTTCCAAAATAGGATCTGGACAGTTTCTCCATTCATGAGCAAGGACTATGAACAGCTCTAAATGGCTTGAAAATGTGAAAGCGAATCATGGTATTTTGACTTCTACCAGGATCATGTCCAGTTAGCCTAGTATTGTCCACTCCAATGAGAATCCACTCTCCAGGATTTCAAACAGATCCTTCCCATTACTTGTTATGTAACTCTTTTAACCAAAGAGTTAAACCTTGCAGGGGTTAAATATTCTGCAAACAAAGCATGTATAAGTGGTGGCAAGTAGCAATTTCCCCAATCTTAAATTCTCATTCTCATTCAGTCCTTCACATTTTCACACCGATTTACATTTTTAAAACGTCCTCATTAAATTCCAGCAGCAATTTTTGGTCTTACTCTGAATATACATATATTTATATGCAATTTTGCCTATACACATTTTTGCAAAGCAATATTCGCTCACATATGCATTTCCACGCACACTTTCCCTTAATCTATGCATATATATTTTTAACACATTATTTTGCTGGAAAACTGTACAGCAAAATTGAAGGAAGTGCGAGTTTTGGAAGATGGTTGCATTTCACTTCATATATTGTTTCAGAAAGTGCTGCTGTGGCAGGTTCACTTTTAAATGTGAACTAAATCAGATTTCATCCCCTCCATTTGTAGCAGCAAGGCAGCAACGGTGTGACCTGTAAGAAAGAAAATCTCCTTATTCTCCCCTTATCTGGCATCTAGGTATTCGTACTGATGCATGGAAATGGGAGTTTTCTCAACTGTGATTGCAATGGTAGCAACTCCTCTTATTTGAGGTATGTGGTTTTCAGAACTCCCATGGTGATTTTCTGAGTCTAGCTTGGAAGAACTCCCGACCTCTGACCTTGCTGGCCATTGGCTGTCCATTCAGACTATATGCAAGAATAATCAGAAAATCCACAGGCAAACCATATTACGTCCATAACTTCTCTCTCTCTTTCATGGAAAGCACACATATATCTTTCCAGGAGTCAAGGGTTTTATAAACTCAACAGAGGCAGTTTCCTTGATGAATAGAGGATATCATGGGGTTTCAAATGAGCAAATAAAGGCTGGAGGCAAGTAAATAATTCAGTGGAGAAAACGGCAAAGACGTGTCGTTTGGCCAAGATTTACACCCCTGT